TTCCAGGATGAGACTATAGCCACCATACAGAGAAGAGCAGACAGAACATGGAGAGAGAATCCTGAGGGATTCCAACCTATTCCTAAGTCTTGGTTGCATTTCTGCATTTGACTCCACGAGATAGCCTCATATGCTCATAATAAAATCCCTTTAGTGGTAAAATTGGTTCAAGTTGGTTTCAGTGATTCATAACTAAAAATCTTCCATCACTACATCAAACTTTCAGATTTCCCATTTCAGGAAAATGATGATAGGCAGAAAAAATATGTAAGAGGGAGAGATCAAACTGACTTTAAAAATTATAAACAGAAATCAATTGGGAATCTTACAGTATTAAAAATAGATTTGGGGCCGGGCGCGGTGGCTCACGCTTGTAATCCTAGCACTCTGGGAGGCCGAGGCGGGCGGATTGCTCAAGGTCAGGAGTTCAAAACCAGCCTGAGCGAGACCCCGTCTCTACTATAAAAATAGAAAGAAATCAATTGGCCAACTAATATATATATATAAAAAATTAGCCGGGCATGGTGGCTCGTGCCTGTAGTCCCAGCAACTTGGGAGGCTGAGGCAGTAGGATTGCTTGAGCCCAGGAGTTTGAGGTTGCTGTGAGCTAGGCTGACGCCACGGCACTCACTCTAGCCTAGGCAAGAAAGCGAGACTCTGTCTCAAAAAAAAAAAAAAAAATAGATTTGGGGGGATTGATGGAGTAATGAGGAGGGGCTCTGTGCATTGTTAGTTCTGAAGAAACAGGGCATTTTTCCTTCAAGATGAAGTAGCAAAATATTATGAAGAGAGCAAAATATTAATAACAAGTGCCTAAGAACCATAGACAACAACCAACGACAAAGCATAGGAACTGGTTAAAATGGGATACATAAGAAACGTAGAGTCATTTATTCCTCAGTACTTCCTGTGGCCAGAGCCTGTGTGTTTCCCACCTGCTGGGCTCTCTGGTTTGTCTCCGTCCACCCCCACCTAAGCTGCCATGGTTTCTCCTGAGAGCTCCGGCAGTGGCCTTCCGGAAGTAGACTGCTGTCCTTGCCATGCTATAACTACCGTAATCTTCTAAAATTCTTAACTGATCCCGTTACCCTTTCCAGGTAAAACTTTTAGTGGCTTCCTTCACTCTTCCTTAGAATGGCCCCCAAAATGCAGCCGTTTTCCAGCTGTCTAGCCTCATCTTGCACCCCACGCCCCTCCCTGTGCATGTTCCTAACAAGGGCTTCTCCTTGGGCCTTGCCTGGCCATGCTCGCTCTGCTGTGGGTCTTTTACACACATCGTCCCTCTCCTGGAACATTCGTTTCTGCTTCCTTTACCCAGCTTTCCTTGGCCTGTCAGACTGGACCAATAACTCCTGGTACTGCCTCTGTTCCCATCCTTTTGACCATTTGTTATTGTAGCAGCTTTGCTTTTACTCCCCCGCCCCTTGGTATTTGCTCCTCTTGTCTATTCTTCTAGAATGTGAGCTCCACAGGGCAGGAAATCTCTGCTTCAGCCTATTGTTTCTGGTCATAGCACCTAACAGAATGCCTAGCAGGGCATCCACAGATACTTGTTGAATGGATAAATGTGGGGAAAGATAACAGAAGTAAAAAGCAAGCAAACAAACGGAAAATAAGCAGCCTCCAACTTTCATATACTTTTTCAAAGATAGGGTGTATAATTCAGCTGTTTGTAGCTCATGGTTTCTCTTAGGTACCAGGCTCCTCATGAACAATACTATTAATAATGCTAAAATCCCTTTTACAAATAGGGGTATATGGTTATTGGTAAATAAAATATAATTAGTGTTAGTAGTACTCCTAGGCCAGCCCACAAAGGCCTGGTTAACCCATAGTGTCTCTAAAATAGGGGTTTTAAGCTCTAGAAATCTACTAAGCCACTATGAGCCTTGAGAAGGACTTGGGGGATATGGAGGGAAAGAGGCTTGCGGTGACTAGCAGCTCTCAGAGCTCCGCAGATGTGAGCGTCAGAGGCATGTTCTAAGGTCTGCAATTCTGGTAGTGAGCATGGGACAGGGCAGAGTGACGGTGATGAGGGGGGAGACTTGAGGACCACTTGGAGGAGCAAGTTGCTCCTGAGCGAGGTGCTATGGCTGGTGGGGGGAGGACCTTTTCCTTCTCCTCTGCCTATGTCCCTTTGAAGGTACATGCACTGAAGTAGAAAACACAACCTGCCTTGCTGGAGAAAGACCTTTCTTTCATCTCCAGGAGTCCTCGAACTTTTTAAACACGGGGCCAGTTCACTGTCCCTCAGACCGTTGGAGAGTGCGCACTGTGGGCCCGAGACGAGTCGGCTGCTAAGCAGGACAGGCAGCTGCGGCAAAAACACCCGGTGGGCCGGATAAATGTCCTAGGTGGGACATGTGGCCCGCCGGCCATAGTTTGAGGATGCCTGAATTCTAGACTATAGAGGTAGCTCTGCCGTGGTGCAAAAATTTCTGTATAAACATCCCATGCCAAGAGGAAAAAGAAGAAAGAAAATTCCAAAAGCAGAAGGATTGGTAGAGAAGCCCCCCTGTAGCAAGAGAGGAAAAGCCTTTTGTGGAGATGGTGCCACACATTGATCACTGGAGAGACGGGTGTCTGGCCCTTAGAGCATGAAAAGGAAGGAAGGGAGAAAAGAGACAATGCAGGCTGCTTGCCTCAGTGAGGGACACAATCAGTTCTGCTATCAGTGACTCAGTTTTCTCACAAATATTCCCAGAGCATACCTCTCGAAGGGCCAGTTGCTTCTGTTAAAACTTTATAGAGAACATCAGTTTTATTTTTTATTTTTATTGAGTCAGAGTCTCGCTTTGTTGCCCAGGCTAGAGTGAGTGCCGTGGTGTCAGCCTAGCTCACAGCAACCTCAAACTCCTGGGCTCAAGCAATCCTACTGCCTCAGCCTCCCGAGTAGCTGGGACTACAGGCATGCGCCACCATGCCCGGCTAATTTTTTCTATATATATTAGTTGGCCAATTAATTTCTTTCTATTTATAGTAGAGACAGGGTCTCGCTCTTGCTCAGGCTGGTTTTGAACTCCTGACCTGGAGCAACCCACCTGCCTCGGCCTCCCAGAGAGCTAGGATTATAGGCATGAGCCACCACGCCTGGCCCAGAACATCAGTTTTATTTTAGAGAGAATAGTCTGGCTGTAAAATTAAGTAAAATGTAATATCCAACATCAACAATTCTGTTGCCATGAGTTGTTTTCATGAAATGAGAGAGTACAGAGTACTCTGAAAAAAACTTTGTTTAAAATTCCAACAGATGATTATAAATGATTATAAAAAGAGCAGATCCTGAAGTCATGCTCATGACATCAACTTTGTATAAGCAACTTAATAATACTTGAGAATGTAACCTGTTTATTGTATTTTAAAGTGAAACTGAGTATGAGGTAATTTTTTTTTCCATAATTGGATTCTTTAGGAGCATTTAGCATTCAGGCATAAGGCAAAAAACATTTCAAGAAGCAACTTCTGCCTCTGTCTCCTGGTTCCTGCCCCCACCCATACCCCTGGAATAAACATATTCTGGTATTCTGAGCACTAGATCAGTATTTCTTCACTTGAATAGTCCTATATATATATATATTTTTTTCTTTTAGGTATACTCTATAAAGTATAATAGAAGTCTGTTATTTTTAGAGATGTTTTTGTAAAAGCATTTCAGCCACTCTCATTTTACTCTGAAAGTGATCACCTGTGTATAGTACAGTTAAGATAAGAAAATTAAAGTTATTTTTCTCAAGTGAAAAAAAGAATCCAACAAAGAGGATTGCTCGAAATTAAATTCAGCGTTCTTTCCAAAGAGTTTGGCAAATACCATCCATATAGTGAGAAGCGTAGGAATTCTGATAACACATTTTTCAAGAATTCATCTCCACCTTCCCTTTCACTCAGGAGGGGGCCTCTTAGTGTGACTATTGGATGTAACCAGTGAACCGAACACTTGAAACCAATTTGCTGGCTTGAGAAGAGGTTATTGATTCTCACAGCATGTACATACTTGGAAAATTTCATTGTTTAACTCCACATGGATGGTTCTTGCCTCGCACTACTTTAAGTTGGGCAGACCGAGTGAGGTGTGTGGACCCTCCTTGCTTTATTGAAGTCTTCAAAGGAGGTAAAAATGTTTAACAGGTCTGGATGTTGCCTTGTGTGAAAAATTCTGTATGTGCTTCTCAGAAAGTCTGGTTAGGTGAGGAATTTTATTTTATTTTTTTTAAGCATGCACTTTATTTTGAGGGAGGATGTTGAGAGAGAAATTCCCGTGCATTTTGTAGAGTACCAAGAAGACAATGGTAGTAATGGATAAAACACTACATCTTGTGCATTTGTATTATTTCTTTTTACTAAATAGTAAAAGTTCAACTGAATGATTAATATTTAACTCTTTGGGAGGGTGAAAATGAACAAAAATTCAACACATTAGAGGTCAAAATCGTTTCTGGGTGTTGTTTAAGAATATATGTAAGGTCGTGACTATTTCTCTTCAGCTGCTGGAAATGTGGACCCCACCCCACTCTGACCCCTCACCTCTCCACTTTATCTCTGTGAATATTACTATTGGCCAAAGGAAGGTTCCTTTCAGCAGAAAGTCTGCCATTTTGAACTGATTCGAGCAGCCTTGTTAACAGGCGGACATGATTCATTTTTCCTAATCACCATTCATAAGACGATCATTATGATCAAGTCTGCTGATAAATCCATAGCCACAGGGGAGGGCTTTAGTTTGTGACAAGGAAAGTTTCTCACTGCTTAATGTGGAGAAACATCTCTGCCCCTTACCTGTGCAGGTTTATGGTGGGAGACAGGCCCTATGGGCATTTATTGACTTGAACTGAAGGGTCTTTCTAATACAGAGAGTTATGTTTTAGAAATGAAAACTGCTTAGGATCTCCCCTGGGATGGGTAATTCATGGAGGAAGGAATCAAGTTAATATTTTTCTCAAACATCTGCATCTTTGGCTTTGATTTTTTTTCTTCTAAACTGACAAGTTTTCTCTCTGTTTCAGGCCCCCTGGTTGATACAGAAGACTATCATAGGAATCACAGAGGGCAACCGAAACCAAAGAAATGACTCCAGCATTTAGTCAAAGGCATGCCTGCCTCAAGGGACAAGGAGGAACAGGAACCTCAACAAACAGGGCAAGAGAGAAGCCACAAGAGGACAGGTGGCAGCATGAGAAATGTTTCATTCCCTGTTGTGGTCATTAGCATGTGGGGCTTGTGACACACAGAGCCCCAATTTAAGGATCTTGTGTTATAATTTTTCAAAGACTGTGCAGCAGGTGTACCAGCCATAGAACTAACACAAATACATTGTGATTTCTAAAGTATTATATACTTTGGAGATTAGAGGCTTGGGGATCCTTCTGCTGAGTTTCTTGAGGAAACATTCCCGAGAGTCAGCAGCAACGCTAAGGCTGAGGCAGCCTGCAAGAGGTAAGATTCGTCATCTTTGGGTAGCAGGGTCACCTTGAGATTTAGCCTCCGGCCCAGTCTAGAGCAGATCACCTGGAACTGAAATTTTTAAACACAAGAATAGGGAGTATAGTAATTACCATGAAGGACAATGTGGACTAATGTCTCTCTTTGCTCAAGAGATGAAGTGAATTTAAAGGGGTGGGGAGAACACTGTGGCTGGATGATATTTTCAATATATCGATTGACTTTCCCCCTCTGGCAGCTCCTGTTGCCTCTACCTCTCCCCCTCACTCCATTCAGGCATACTTTGTTGTATTAGGAAAAAAGAAGTTTCACCAGAGGGCAAGAAGAAAAGGCTTTTGATTTTCACAAGTCAAGACTCGGAGGGCACTTGGCATGGAAACCCTAGCCTGAGTTGGAGCAAGCTTGTAGCCCCTGGTGGGACCTGAAGTTTTCCAGGTGTGTCTGTGGGGCAGGGAAGGAAGGGAGCTGTTATATGCCTGTTAGGAGCTGAGGAGGAGGGGAGGGAAGGGGGAGGAGAGGGATGCAGAGAGAGCTCTTAGGCAGGGGTAGCCCCTCTGTCCTGTGAGAGAGGGACTCCACACCCTGGTCCCCAGAAGTAAAGGCGGTGGATGGCAGAAGCTGAAGATGGGCTGGGGTTGCTGTCACTTCCAAGTAGAGCCCAAGGAGACTGCAAAATCCCGGAACAGAAATGGTTGAGTGGTGTCCAGGGGACAGATGAGCCAGCCTCGAGGACTTGAGTGCACCCCAGCACCACTTGTAAGTGTTAGAAGGATTCTTCTGTGCTCGAAAGTGCCACCCCAGTAGTAACAACAACAAAAAATAAAAACCCACAGAATTTTCTGGTGCTCCTGTGGCCTGACAGCAGTCTAATAACGTCTCTTATGTTAACAAGGGGCTTGGCAACGGCTGAGAGGAAGTGTGCCACACCTGAAGGAGTCTTGTGTTGGGGAACAGCTGGACAGCAAAGACCCATGAGGAACAAGAACATCTCAGCCAAGAGTGGTGCAGACACAACATCACACAGAGAATGGGATGACCTCCCGAGCCCTGTTGCCCTGCTACAATGTGAGCCGCCTGGAACCCAGAGGAAAGAGTAAGGATGCAGAATTGAGTGGAATTAAGGCTCTAACACTGAAGATAGGCTCAATATAGGCAAGTCATTATGGACATTATGGAAAAAGAATTATATTTCTTATATAATTAACCTAGTTGATTGAAATCTGAACTCAAAAGTAAAATCATTCACTCACTCAATCAGTAAATTAAAAAAAAAAAAAAATCAGGCCTACCTGACAAAACTATTTAGCTCCACCTTGCTGGAATTTAGGAGAATTTCATACATCCTAATACCAATCTTGACCATTGCTAGGTAGCTAGATTATGTGCAGCCTCTCAGGTTCACATGTGTAGCTCAGTGTTGCTTAATAAGTGCCAACTATGTGGCTGGCACTATCCTAGGAATATTAACCATTTTAACTCAATCCTTGAAACAACATCTGTGAGAATAGATATTCTTTCCATTTTCCTGGTAAGTAAGTTAAGGCTCAACAAAGTGAAATCTAAGAGAATCCTAAGCATTTCCTTCATGAAGGTTGCTTCCCCATTTTGGTGAATAATGCCCTACTCTTCCTTCCTTCTTCTCCCAACAGTCTCTTCCTTTTCTCTGTGTGTTCCTACACTGTCCCACCCCTATGCCTTTCTTTGTCCTACTGCCACTACTCTGGATTCCACTCCTCTTCCCTGTCTTCTGACATCTCCCCCAGGTTCCAAGGCACAATTCAAATCTCACCTGTTCCCAGACACTTTGCAACCTCTCAGCTATTGTTATCCCGTCCATCTTCATGTTCCTTTAGCACCTCACACATTCATTGCAGACCTTTATCAAAGTCAGTATTGCAGGACTTTGGTTACAGTAGTGTCAGCTGCTGGGTTGGAAACCCCAGAAGAGTTCCTTCTTGTGCATCCCCAGTACCTAACATGAATTTAGCATCCTGGGCTGCCAGGTATTTTGGTGGCTACTATATAATAAAACCTTAACACATATTTGTCAAACTTAATTAAAATTCTTGAACACATAGTGAAATGTGAGACAGATGCTTAAAAGAATGTTTAATTGCCCATGTCTTTGATTCCCTTACTTTTCTTCTTTTTCCCCAATTTATTTCAAATTATTTTCAAATATACCAAACAGTTTAAAGAATTGTTCAGTGAGCACTGTGTAACCACAACCACCTAGCTTCTATTTTATCCTTTCTATTATATTTATGTTATTATATCTGTCCCTCTATCCATCCCTTTATCCATCCATCCATCAACACATAATATTTTTTCCTCAGTGCCTTTCGAATATGTCCAATGTTTGAGAGACCTTTGACTTTGGCATCAGATCTGAGATTAATTCCTTGACTTAGCCCCTATTCGCTGTGTGTTCTGGAGGGTGTTGTTTTTCAACTGAGTCTGTTTTCCCTTTATAAAATGTGGGTGGACAATGTTGTCTACTTTACAAGTCATGGTGGGGATTAAATGTGATAATGTATGTAAAGGGTCTGGCACATAATGTGTGTTCAACACACGGTAGCAAGACAAAAAGGAGAGCATAAATATTTATTTCAGTCATCAGCACTGATTTGCAATTACTTATGCTTCTGGTGTTCTTTCTTTCAGCCTCTTCTTTAGGCCCAGAAGGAAAAGAAATTCACAGGAGACAATCAGTCTTAGACTCTTCCTTGGTTATGAAAAAGAGGCTCTTAGATCTAAGAGGTGAGCAAGAGGTGATCTGGGTTTTGATGTGGGTACTGCATTCTGAATTCCCTTGACCAATTTAAAGGCCATAGAGCTAACAGTAGAATCACCAATTATCTGCTTTCACCCAGACAACATGGGGGATTTTAATGTTTATCTAAAATTCAGAAGAATCTTTGCTAAAAATGGACATGATTAGGAGAGAATGTCAGAGCTCTACCACAGCCATAAAACCATGTCCTGAGCACTTTGGTGTAGGGATTTGCATATTTTCTGAGTGTAAGCCCTCATTTGTACCACCCTGCACTCTAAGGCTGTAGAATGTCCTCAATTCATAGAACCAGCTCTTAATTCTCCTCCAGATCATCTTGCCCCTGAAATGGCCCCAGAAAGCTATGGCCAGAGAATAATGAAGGGGATTTTCTCGTGGCCTCAGACCAGTAACTATTTCGGACATTGGAATGTTGGAAAAGGAAAATCTCAGCCTTTGTTTCCTGCCTGTGCTCTCACCGTGCCTAGTCACCATGATGTCCTTCACATGAATCATGGTGAGTATAGGACAGTATGAATATCATGGTGTGAGTATCATGAATTCATGGTGTGAATATTAATAGTGTAAATATCATGGTTTAAATACAATTGTGTGGTGCATCCATGTGAATTGTTTTCTCCACCACACTCAGAGTTAAGACTCTTAATTTCAAATTTGTATTAGCATGTGCCAATAGACTTGTCCCTAGAAGAACTGGAAAACGCTTAATGTCCTTCTCTTCCTGATGGTTTGCAATTTAGATGACATGTAACATTTATCAGTAGAACTTTTTGAAAAATACAAGTGACTGCTGCCCCCCATGCCTCACTCCTCATCCTGAGCGTCTGAATCAGCAGGTAATGAGATAGCCCACTGGAATCGACATTTTAGAAATCTCAACAAATTATCCTACTTCACTGCTATGGCTAAGAAGTGCCTCTTTACCGTAAAGATGTATAACTCTTCTTAATAAAGACAATGAAAGATGGTGTGTCTCATTTTGAGATGCAAAATCTTTGTTGACCTTTTCGTCTTTGCTTTTGTTTCCTATCAGTTGATGTCTTTAAAATGGAAAACTGGCTGGAATGGGGAAATTACAAATATTTCCAAAGTAGAGTAGGTTGGGTGTACGATAGCAATAAGGACAGCCCGGTAGGGCACTTGAGGAGCCTCTCAGCTAATGTAAGGTAGAGCTAATCAAGCCAGCCGACGAACATAGTACTGAGATTATCAGGTAAGGATGTAGCCTAGGACAAGAAGGCAGATATGCAAAAGTAGACACTGTATTTTATCAATTCTAATACATCAGTATTTGTTAGCCTGGTGCCACTGGGACATAGTGTCATTGCCTGTGCAGTAAAAATGTTGTTGTTATTCCTGGTGGCATAACTGGACAACTTCAACCCCCCAAAGTTTCAGTCAACAAACTAAGAAAAATTAAATCCTGGTTGTCACTTGAGAACATACAGTTGTCTGCTGCTGGTTAGATAAAAAAAAAAAAAGTAACAACATCAAAGCTTTTAGATTGAGTGTAAGTCACTTGGAAGAAAATTCAAAGATAATAGTGGAATGCTTTTTAAATAAATGCTGCATTCTCCACCATGCTTTTAATGACATAGATACCCATATCTATGAAAGGTGGGACCAGATATACCAATTCTGAGTTGAAAAGTGATCAGGAGAGTTGGACTCTAAATATGAAAAAGTTTGGGGTATAGGTTAATTGGCAGCATTTTTTTCTTAGTGGCACATAATAGTAATGCATCTTATAACTGATGGTGTCTTAGATTGAGTATAGTATATGATATTTGTGTTGGTCTTTATGGAGGAGAATATTGAAGCAGATTCTCAACCCCAAGTAGTCCCCTGAATAAGGCAAAGGGGCCCCAGTGAATCACAGACCTGAGTCTGTCTAATGTCCGTAAAGGCCAGCTACTAAGATCTGAAAAAAGAGAGAAGAACCACCATATATTTAAACAATAATAACTTTTTAAAAGAAAATGGCTAGGTTTCATTAAGAAGGCATTATTCCTATTTTATTGTCATTTTTTGAAGAACTAAGTAGTCATGTGAACAGGAACTGATGGATGTATCCAGGTGGACTTTCAAAAAAATCTTTCAAAGGACAATTAGAACACAAAAGAATCGCCATGGAATTGGAATTGAGTGGGGGAAGTTTGGCGGTTTGGTGTGTTTTAAGTGCCCCAAATTTGTTTTATAGAATGGTAACATCTAGGGTTGGAGGTCAGCTTTGCATTCTCTTCCTCTTGGGCTAGAGCACCCCCAAGAAGCAGTCATTTTCTCTACACTCAGATACCTTGTTGTAGAATCCCTCAAGACCCATACTTCACAAGTTCCATTCCTCTTCCACATGCTATTTTTGAATATCTCAAAAAAAAAAAAAAGCTTTCATATAAACCTCAGGCTAAACATCCTTTTCTTCAAAAACTTACCACAATCTATTTCTTTCAGGCCCTTCCCTTCCCTGAGTCTCTACTCTGAATACCCTCCAATTTGTCGACATCCTTTATTAACTAAGCTAACAAAGGTCCAATTTGTCCGGGAGTCTTAGTTTGTGCTTATTTTCCATGCTTAATTATCACTAGCAATCCTTTCCTTTTCATAGTGTCCTGATTCAAACAATATCATATGTGGCCAATCTCCTTACAACTGAATGAAGTGGGGTATCTAATGGTGGGCTGACTACAAAAATAAGGGCAAAGCTTTCACCATTTAAAGTCTCGGCTCTCTACAAGTGCATTAGTAACTTGGGCCATATATCACACCATTGTCTCATGTTAAGCTTCCGGCTAATTACAGTCCCTAAATATTTTCCGCACTTAATTCCAGGAAGCCACATCTTCCCCAGGTAGTATTTGTGCTGGTGGTTCTTTAGCTTTTGCTCCTACTAAACTTCATGATGTTAGGATTCAACTCATTGTCTAGTCTGTCAAGGACTTTGTCATCCAAAATGCTGGCTTATCCTTTCCAACTTCCTGTTATAAGAAGATAAATATTGCTTTTCTGTTTCCTTATCCAAATTCTTGATTTGAAATATCACATAGAACAGTCTTGGGGCACTTTGCCTCTTTCCAGTTTGTCTTCCATTCACATCTTGGGAGTCATTTAACATCACAAACTCACTTAATTGTAGTGCCATTAAGTCCATATATTTCTGGCTTTTATCCGAAAATATCTATGAGAACTTAGCAAATGTCCTTCAGAACTTCAGATGTATAATGCAGAATGCTTTTCCTAATCTATGCATCTAGATCTGGGACCTAAATAAATAAATATTTAAACTAAATAAATAAATAATGAAAGAAAGAAAAGAAAAAAGAAATTTAAAAAACTGAGTTAACTCTGATACGACTTTTTAGTGAGTGCACTTCTTTTTTTTAGCCCCCATGGGGCCTGGGAAGCATAATACCTGGGACGTAGGTCAGTGCTGAATGAATATTTGTTGATCCAAGCACGGTTTTTTCATTGAAAAATGAGCAGAAGAACTTGCCTATGGCTCTTGCTGTGAAAAAAACCTATTTCTTCACACCTGTCAAGGACATCTGCTTTGGGAAGTCCCCCACACAGCTTCAGTCCACACTGGAGTATAAATTGACTATTTGCTAATCATGTAAATATTATTGCTGAAATGAAAACATGATTGAGGCTGGAAGTGTGAACCGAATGCAGAAAGTGCCAGCTCTTTAATGTAAGCAATTAATTAGGCATCATCTTTAAGTCTGGTGATAGGTCCCAGGGTGTTAATCAAATCAAATATCACCAGCTGCTGAGAGAACGGGCTCTTTCAGGACGCCGCAGTCCCTATACCGAAGGGGAAAGAGAGAAGGCACTGAAATGGATTTACTTAGGCTCCAATAGCTAAAGACACCTAAAGAGGAACTGTGGGAAACTGTTATGTAGACATATCCATAACAGATCAAATACTATCAAGTCAGCTGAAATGGTGGAAAAAGCCTAGATTTGTATGCTGGACAGAACTGTGCTCAACTCCTGATTTTGCTTTCTCTAGCCTTGGAAATTCACATGGTCTGTCTGAACCTTACTTTCTTTTCTTTATATTATATTTTTTATTTCAAAATATTGGGGGGACACAAATGTTTTAGGTTATATGGATCATTTTTGTAATGCTTGAGTCCTAGATATCAGTGTGACCATCACCCAAATAGTGTTCATAGTACCCATTAGGTTGCTTTATTCCCCTCCCCTCCTCCCCCCAGCCCCTAGTTGCTCTCCACTGAGTTTTACTCTCCTCTCTGCACTTGTGTGCTCATCGGTAAGTTCCAATTTAATAGTGAATACATGTGATGTTTGTTTTTCTATTCTTATGATACTTAGGAGAATGGTCTCCAGTTCCATCCAGATTGTTGCAAAAGATATCAATCCATCCTGTGCTATGGCTGAGTAGTATTCCTTGGTGTACGTATACCATATTTTATTAATCCACTCATGAATTGATGGGAACTTGGGTCGATTCCATATCTTTGCTATTATCAGTTGTGCCTCAATAAGCATTCAAGTGCAGGTGTCTTTTTGATAAAATGGGCTTTTTTTCCTTTGGGTAAGTACCCAGTAGTGGGATTGCTGGATCAAATGGTAGTTCTACTTTTAGTTCTTTCAGGAATCTCCATACTGTTTTCCATAGAGGTTGAACTAATTTGCAGTCTCACCAACAGTATATAAGTGTTCCTTTCTCTCTGCATCCATGCCAGCATCTATTGTTTTTGGCCTTTTTAATAAAAGCCATTCTAACTGGGGTAAGGTGATATCTCATTGTGGCTTTCATTAGCATTTCTCTAATGATTAGTGACATTGAACAGTTTTCATATGTTTATTGGCCATCTGTCTTTCTTCTTTTGAGAAGCACCTGTTCATGTCTTTTTAATAGGTTTTTTTTTTTTCTTGCTGATTTGCTTGAGTTCTTTGTAATTCTGGTTATTAGCCCATTGTTGGATATGTAGCTTGTGAGTATGTTCTCCCATTCCATAGGTTGTCTATTTGCTCTATTGATTGTTTTCTTAGCTTTGCAGAAGGTTTTTGGTTTAATCAAATCCCATTTATTTATTTTTCTTGTTGCCACAATTGCCATTGGGGTCTATTTCATAAATTCTTTGCCTAAGCCAATAACTAGAAGAGTGTTTCTTACATTTAGCTCTAGAATTCTTATGGCTCCATGCCTTCTATCTAAGTCTTTTATCCATCTTGCTAATTTTTGGGAGTGGTGAGATGTAGGGGTCCTGTTTCATTCTGCATGTGGCTATCCAATTTTCCCAGCACCATTTATTGAATAGGGATTCTTTCCCCCAGTGCACATTGTTGTCTGCTTTGTCAAAGATTAGTTAGTTGTAGGTAGATGGTTTTCTTTTATTTTTTTTTATTTCAATATCGTTTTTTGTTGTTGTTGTTTTTTATTTCAGCATATTATGGGAGTACAGATTTTAAGGTTTCAATAAATGCCCATTTCCTCCCCTCCCCCCACAAGTCTGAGTCTCCATCATG